CGAAATTGCGCGGAAAAACGCGCAATACCCATGTCGCTCAGTGTGAATGGCGCCTAAAGGATGAAAAAAAGTACCTGCATCTGTCTGGGTCACATGATAAGGGCCATACACATCTCCCCTCCCAGCAACCTGGGACACTCTGGCTGGCGTCCCTGCCAAGCTCCTGGCAACCAGTGATGTCAGTGAGCTGGGCAGGACGCCAGCAAGAGCTAAGCGGTGCACCACCAGGACCCCATTAAACCTCCGCACCACACATGACCACCAGCAACCCTCTTCCCCCAGGCGGCGATTATGCTAGGGACACCCCTGTACAGGAAAATATATGAGATTCTAAGTAACTATTAATCTCTATTATTATTCCCATTGTTAGGTTAGGCGTGTTAAAGTGAGGAGGATCCATGGTGAGACAATGTGTACCTGTGTGCTACAAAAAATTCTACAGCAAAGTTTGCAGTGTGTGGCCGGACTTTTTCCCTGTGGGTGACTATGGATGTTGGAGCCATTCTCTCTGGTGCTGCTGTGAAGGAGCTGTGATACTGGGTTATGTAAGTTAATGCCAAGTAATGTGTTTTGATGTGTAGTAATGCATGCACGATGTTGGAAAGGTGTGAACAGGGCCTAAAACACTGCACCAAGCATATTTATGAACATGTTAAAAAGAGATGAGCCTTTTTAACACAAAAGTTTGGCTTGCTTGAAAACCAAAAGGCTGATAATGTGCTCTCACATCCTCAAGCTCTGCCGTGTGCACGTGTCCTGATAGGCTCTTGCGGGCTTGGGGCAAATTCTCTTTTGCATCATGTGAGCAAACAAATCTTGTAGTATGTTCCCATTATTTTCCTTCACATTTCAAGGAATGATCAGACAGATAGATGTAAGAAATCATTGGATAATAAAACCCACATTTGTATTGATAGACAATTTACAAAGCCATTCGTCCTGTGCAATTGCATGCACATGTGTTCTGTGCCAAAGTAGGCAAAAAAGAATGTTATTAGTATATTTTCTTCCAGGTTGAATGTAATATCATGAAAATACTATATTATGGCCACTAGAAGGAGCTAAGGAACATAGGAAATAAATAAGTATTAGGTACATACTATATTATGGTCACTGGATGGAGCTAAGTAGCATAGAAAATAAATAAGTATCAGGTAAACACTATATTATGGCCACTAGAAGGAGCTAAGGAGCATAGGAAATAAATAAGTACAGTATCAGATAAACACTATATTATGGTCACTAGATGGAGCTAAGGAGCATAGGAAATAAATAAGTATCAGGTAAACACTATATTATGGCCACTAGATGGAGCTAAGGAGCATAGGAAATAAATATCAGGTAAACACTATATTATGGCCACTAGATGGAGCTAAGGAGCATAGGAAATAAATAAGTATCAGGTAAACACTATATTATGGCCACTAGATGAAGTTGAGGAGCATAGGAAATATACATTTCCTATGCTCCTCAGCTCCATCAAGTGGCCATAATATAGTGTTTACCTGATACGTATTTATTTCCTATGATTCTCAACTCCATCTAGTGGCCATAGTTCAGAATATTACTGATATTACATTTGACCTGGAAAGAAAACATGCTAAATTACAATTGTTTTTGCCTCCATTCACACAGTAAGGATGTAAATGCAAGTTCACAGGATGAATGGCTCTGCATATTGTTTCTAAATACACCTTTAGGTGTCATGCACAATTTCATGTATGTTAATGTCCCTGCGCCACTCCATTATTACAGTCGAGGGTCAATGTAACTCTTCTACAACGCAAAACCCTCTCCACGTTTGATTGCTGGATAACATGGATAGCAAACTCTAGTTCATATATCATTAGTAATGTTTTCCGTGCACTGCCCTTATTTGGCAAGGAATGAGGCTTTTTCATGTACTCTCTTTGATTCTTCATTCAGTTACTGAGCTGTGTTCTGATCTTTGCCCAGAGATACATTATCACACAGTCATCTGCAACAGTAGAAATCTCCTCGTTGAAGGGTCATTTGTGCTTGCGAATGGATACCTTTAGCCTTTCAATGATGAATAATCTACCTTCCGGATATTTAATTGAGTCTTTCCCTGGAAGCCTCTTTCCAGTTTAATATTTAAAAAAAAATCTATTTCAGCATGTAGTAGATGTTATGTAGATACATACTGTATGTTTAACACTTACTAAGAGGTGGTATTAAATTAAAAAAATATATATTTATAAGCACAGCTTGGCACCTCTGTGTACTAAAATGGCCCTCTGGTGTTTTATTTTCTGAATTCTAAGCGTGGTCATCTACTGAGCTGTGACCATCAAACGTATAGTACAGTAAATGACATGAGAGAGAACAGACCTCTTATATGACCATACATTCAACTGCTCATAGTTAAGATGAAAGTCTCTGGACATATTGGGTGACAATCGAATGTCTTTGGGGCACCTTTATATGTTGTTGGCCAATTAATCTAATAAAAATGGCAACAGGTGCTTTGGGGTGCCATTAAGAAAATAATGGCATCGCATATCCTAACAGTGTAACATGCAATCTTGCGTGATTCATTGCAGAGATGGGAACAGGGCCTTATACACACTATAGTGACAGGACTCATTTATAGGGTATTGAGGCTGGGAACCCTGATGCATGTTGTTGTATGAAAGTATGCATGTTGTCACAATGAGATATATAATAACATCCATTCGTTTGATTGTAATATAGCACAGGGGTGGAAGAAACCACATCTCTATGTGGTTTATTAATGAGTTCCATTTAATGGTTTATCGCCCAAACTACCTGGACAAAGCGTGGCATTGCAGATGAAACAGCTATGGGGAGGGCCAACTTTGTTATCCTGTGTGAAATAAAAGTTCTCCTTCTGAAGTGAAGGCCTGATCCACAATAAGACCTAACAGGGATAGATCACACCAGGCATTTTCAATGACATGGCCTATCTGCTGCTGTTTTCAGAAAACACATAGAGGAGGAGCACATATACACACAAGCTGCTCTCTCCTTGGGTCACTGTTACCATGAAATGCCCCTCTGTTGGTGATGACTGCAACACTCTATAGACGTTGGGGAAAATATCCCTCCAGTAGCCCTGCCCTGAATAGAATACAAAGCTGAAGAGGCGATCAATATCAAACTCTGTTCCAAAAAAAGCATCTCTGTGGTCCTGACTCATGATATAATTAAATAATGAGACTGAGAGCAGAGCTGTATATATCTCATAGGCTGGTGCCTTCCAAATGAAAATCCCCACAGAGCACGCTTTCTGCTAGGGACGGAAAAGATTCTCTGCTATTAACCCATGAAACTCCGTCATATCTCATTCTGTAATACGAATATAAATTGAAATACTATTTAACTGTGTCTACTTTCTGGATGTACTATTGCGTAGAAGAGAAAATGTGTGCGTGTGTGTGTGTATATATATATCTACATCTATCATTATCTATCAATGTCAGTCTATCTATCTATCTATCTATCTATCTATCTATCTATCTATCTATCTATCTATCTATGTATTAATGAAAATTAGCTACCAATGTACATTACTTATTCTACCCCTTGAAAAATGTTTGTGATTTGTTGAATAAACCAGTCATTGCAAAACACTGTAAATGCCTCATTGAAAATGAATCAGAGCATCCGAAACATGAAGCAGTTATTTGTTATAAACCATTACAAACAGAGCTGAAAAACATATACGTGATCTATTTCATCTGCCAGAGTTGTAGTTTTGCACCGCTAGGCTTATGATTCCGGCATTCAGACTGACTGCACAGCCAGGTCTCGGACCACTTTTTGTAACTACACTGTAGTTACAGTACATGTAGAGCCATATAACACACATATAATCTTTAACATGTGAATGTATTTACAGTCCTTTTGAATCTACAGCTTTAAAGTGTATTTCCACTTTTGGGGTCAAACTTGAGAACACCCCCCAGGCAAACATTCTATAAGGTCTATTCACTAAGCTGCTGTAGGCAGCCGAGTGAATGACCGACCTGAAGTGAAGTGAGCCGAACACTGTTCGGCTATTCACTTCAGGCGGGTAAGGCTGATTTCAGCCGTACATCGGCTGAAATCAGCCGTACATCGGCTTGCTTCATGTGGCTTCGGGTTGGACGAACATGCTCTGCATGTTTGGCCGACCCGAAGTGCAGAAGGAGTTCGACTCAGCCGATCCAACATCTGGATCGGCTGAGCCGAACATCCGGCAGGCTACTCACTGCTGTTCGGTCTATTCTTATAGATGCGGAACAGCAGTGAGTGAATAGCCGAATGCCTCTGAGCGGCATTCGGCTCGGCTGTTCTGCTCGGTCCCTTAGAGGTATCGAGCAGAACAGAAAAAGAGTGAAAAAAGTAAGAAAAAAAGTAAATAGAAAACGATTGTGCGGAGCTAGCAGTGACAGCTAGCTCCGCCCAATAGTTTCCTATTGTCCGGCGGCTCTGCTGCCGTCAAAAAAAAACCCAAAAAAATACCTCTCCCGGGCGCTCTGGGAGCCTCCCGCTCCCGGCCACCCAGGAGAGAAACACTGAATGGTGTTCCCATTCACATAGCATACCTAAAAATAATGATTAAAAAATCTTACTTTTAGATGTGTCTGCATAGTCAGAGCCTTTGAAAGCTTCTCTCTCAATTTCCCAGTGACAAAAAACTCTGTCTGTACCCATTGAAAGACTAAAAACAGACTGAGCTTCCCCTCATTAACATACAATGCTTCTAGATCTTTAACCCTTTGTTAGGACAGACAGAGTTCAAATCTAGTTTACAACTGATAATGTCAAAAGGGTGTAAAAGGTTTTTGATCATGAAAAGGTTAAACCCAACAGAGGACAATTCAACCAAGGGGGGAGAACCCTGTTGCATAAGTTTGCAGAAGGTTTATAGCAAGAAAGATTTTGGGTGGCAGGGAAAGAGGACTTTCTTTAGGTAAATTCAGCCAAGAAAGTTATCTATAAAAATGTCAAGCATACAGTTTTGATGATCATACCTTCACTCGCATGGCGGTCTCTAAAAACACTTTTGGGATGAATAGTAAATCCTTCAATATCGTGAACTGAAGACGCTCGTCTCATGCTACAAATACTTTCTTTTGATCGTGCATGAGACAAGCGGGAACCTGCTTGAAGCATGTCCGGAAATAGCTGGTCCCATTGCCGTTTGGGTGAAGAATGGTCTAGAGGTCCAGTTATATTCACCAGAGGGGAACACTTATTAGAGTCTATTAGTGCTTTTGTATCATCTGCTTCAGAGGGGCTGCAACTTTCCTTAGTGGGGGATTTAAAGTGCTTCATGGCCATAGAATCATCGCTGTGCTTTGAGTCCACTATGACGGCATCAGGGTCTTCCTGCGGTAACGATTGTTTCCTGTAGTTCAGAAGTCTTAACGATGGTAACCGGAATCCAAACATTTTGCCTGGAGATAGAAAGGTAAGAACAAATGTAAGAACATGTCTACCAATAACGTGCAGGCAATCACTAAATCAGTAAGTGTGACTCAAACACTAAGGGGTACATTATAAAGATGATGGAACCAAAGACCATATGGAGCCAAAGGGAATACCCCTATTGCCCACCACTGAGAGAAAGTCTACAGGTGTGAAAATATTGTTGCTGGGCTTTCCCACAGGCTGCATGGTACAGACCTGCTTGACTTCTTAATAACCCGAACTTAAGTGCAGCTAAATTCTGGCCATTTTTGCTCCCCAGAACCAAACATGGCTATCTTTGAAAATGTTGAAGCTTCTCTTTGATAACCCACACTTGGAATTAGCAGTAACTAGAACCCCATACTTGGCCAGGAAAACAATAGCACAGCATTGACTAACTCTCCAACCCTCCACAACTGCCTTTTGATAAACAATGTAAATTCCATCCCATCCCACACTTAACTTAAGCTTGACCAATAGCTGTTGAGAACAGTAGTTCTAAGCAATCTATAGTTTGCATCTTTTATTTACTGTACAATTGCAAAGTAGCTACACAGTATACTGACATACTGTACTTTATGATATTGCTAAAAAAATCCCTAATGAAGAAAAAAATGTAATCTGGCCAATTCCAAGGCTTATAGACAAGCTGCCACCAAAAGAGAGCATGGGGAGCTAGGCATTGCCATGGGGGACATTTAACACAGAAAAAACCCCCAAAAAAACAATGTGAATTCGAAGGAAACATGGAAAAACACCAATCCTTTAAATGTCATGCTTGGCAGATACCTTTAAGCTGTTTGAGGTGTTACCAGTGGTAGCAGCACTGTATTCTGGCATCACAGATTTTGGATGAGCAATTCATTTTTTTGCTTTTAATTTTTGCTTGGCTTAAATATAGCAGAACCCCAAGCTGACTCATTAGAATGAAAAAAAAGTGTGGTGGACCCAATTTCCAACGATACAGATGTGCCCACGCCGGCTTGTTCCCAACAGTCCCCTGGCACTAATGTCACTGCAAACTCTCCTTCTGGATTGTGACTGGACCCCACAATTAAACAACCCATAGAAAACCCAATGCCAGCAATCAATTAGGCCCCACTCACACCAGGGCGGTTGCGGATCTGTGCGGTCCCCCCCCCCCCCCCCCCCGTTTTTAAAAGGGTGCTTTTGGGGTGTTTTTAACTGCGTTTCAGCAGTATGGAAACCGCGCTGATCAGCACAGAAAAAAAGGTCAGGCAGCAATTCGGGCGGAAGGCGGTCCGGATAGTGCAGAACAGTCACATGGATGGTCCCCATAGTAATGTATGAGATTGTTCATTTTGGCGGATCCGCGCAGCCGTACCGCCCTGGTGTGAACAGGGCGCTAGAGTGGGGTGGGAAGGAGGATTGGGAAAGGGGTTAAATTAAGGTTTTTTGTTTTTTTTGGAAGGGCTGTGTTAACCTCTTCTTTGAATGCCACACAAGGACTGCATACCCAAACAAGCTAAACCCATAAGATTAATGTCACTCTGTTACTATAGGAAAAATGTAAAACCCATCTATACCTGTAAAAGAAGACAGAACTAACCCATCCAATCCTACCTGTGCCATGGAACTTGTTTATTATCTTTTATAAATAACTTTAAATATATATACTTGTGTTGTGGATGAGTGTTGGCTGATATTTTGTTTACAAACAACAACAGGAAGAGGAAGAGATTTCATCAACATTATCCTTGCCAGCAGGATATATACTGTATTTTCGCTTTTCAAATATTATTCAGAGTCAGACAATTCAAAGGCTGCCAAAATAGGCAAATATCTGCTGTCATGTACCAACAGGAATGCGGTTGATAATTGCTGGCAAACAGAACAAACATGGATAACCTCACCAAGCTGTCATACTGTATAAGTCAATTCTAAAATGAGAAGCAGAAGTGGAGGGCAACAGCTTCAGCTCCAGAAAGAACTCTAAGCCAGCCCAATGTCTATGAATAAAACCAACTTTTCACCTAAAACCAACACCTTGCCCATAATCCTGCTATCTTCCTAAATGCAGGTAGAAAAACTTTCTTTACACAATGCAGGGTTTTTCAAAACATAACACATCTGCCCTGGACCAGAAAGATCTAGCACTGGTAGGGTTACCACCTATTTGGTTTTGAATGAGTCTGGTCTTTCTAGAGGTGAAGTTTCAGTCCAGTTGGCCAGAGTAGAAAGGTCAGGATTTACCTATCTGGCATGTTTATGTTGTATTGTAAAATGTCCATCAGGCTTTTAAAATCCCATTACCAATCAGAGTGTTTAGGAATGAAATCCTGTCTGCTGACCTCTTAGCAAAGAATGAAGAGTAGATAGTTCTCTTCATTCTTCAAATCACATGAGAGCATTGGCATTGGTCATGAATAATCCATATTATTTACTTGGCATGTATTCTGATCAGCATTTCAGTTTTATTATTCAACTATGGCATATGTTTTTCTATGCTGTGGCTAAAATGAATATTCTATTTATTTATTTTTAAAAGGAACATAAGCAGTTGCCGCTCCGGTTTTATTTATAGCTTGTAGAGAGAAACAGTTTTGTCATTTGCTATCCAATATTCAGATCGCTGTGAAAATAATCCTAGTGAAGCCAGCCTGATTATACATGATATGTTCCCATTCTCATCCTTCTTTAGCAACAGCACAATCTGTTTTAGTTTACTGCAAAAGGAGAGTTATATTTCTGATGTATAATTCACAGTAAAGCATTTGAAAATTGATGCAGGCCTTTCCTTCTCTATCTACATATAAATGAGTTGCAGATCCAAGTAATCTCATGTGAAAATTGCTTTATATCTTTAAACTAAAGTAAGTGTTGGAATTCAAAAGAACTGGCCCCAGGGGGTGAAGTCCTAACCCCTCTACACATTTGATTCTGATATTCCACTACTATTCAGTTGACAGAAAAACTACCGTTCACAACCCACAAGCATTTTGAGTTATTGTTGTAGTTTACCTAAAAGTCATTTTTGATGATGTGACTTTCATTTTTTTATAATGTGTCAGTTAAAGTTTTATACTCACAAACAAAACAAAAAAAGGGTAATTTAGAGCTCTAGTGCTTTTGGGTAAAAACATGTTACATTTTATTAGGAAAGTTTAACATTAAGGGACGGTATCAGCTGTGTTAGAACTCAGCCACTGGTGTGCTCTTTGAAGGCTGCGGTGCAGATGCGCTGGATACAGCACTTCACACACTAAAACTTTCTTTTTGTCAGAGCTTTGTTGAAATGTCACAAGCTGACATTTCATTCAATTCTATTGGCCTCAGCGTGGTGTGATGCAGTAAACTGTGTTGCATAATGCTGTGCTGAAAAAAAGTACTGCATGCAGTAAATTTTTTAGCGCACATGCCTACAATGTGGTGGTGGTGGTGGGAACTAGGTTGACTGTAAACAAGGCAAACTCAGGACTGCACTGCCCAATGCAGCTTGTATGAAAGGGCTCTAAAGCAAAACAAATATTGTGCAACAAACAGGGGAACATTGAGGAGTTACGCCAGTCAATATAATATACCAATCCCCAGGGTTTCAACAAACTATTCAAAAATGGATTGTCCCCTAATTATAGAAATCCCTTACTTGGAGCTAGTTCAGTAAACAGGTAAAAAATATAATTAATGAAGTAAGTATTTAATTGTAGAAAAACAAACATGAACAGTACACCCACAACAATACATTTAAAACCAATTAAAAAACTTCCCTTGGATAAACTGTTGTTAATGGAACAATGATGATCTGCAGGCCAGCTAGTGTGGCATGAAATAGTTAGAGCAGATACATACAATGTATTTCATGTGGGGATACAGTGTATCCAAAGTTACTCACAACTCGTGTTGCTCAGGGAGCTCGGGGAGAGACAGTCCTGCTCGAATCCCACAGTGCTGAATGATTTTTCGCTTCAGTAAGCGTGTCCAGTAGTAGTGGTTGGGATCCAGAAACAGGGATTTGTTGATAGGGCTAAGAAATATGAGCGCCCTTCCCTCTCCACCTGCTTGGGACTCTCACTAGCCCGCGGGCTTGAATTTCAAATTTGAGAGGTATCCCGAAAGCACTTTGATGCATATGTGCGGCCGCACAGTAAAAAGCAGGAAAGGTGAATAAAGGAGCCTCCATGGTGAGATGTTCCAGGTGCAATTTTGGATCCACAGGCTGTGTGAAGACCACAGACAGCCGTCCGTTCGTTTTCCTCGATCTCTGCTGGATTAGCGCAGGTTCCGATGCAGCTTGACTCAGACCATATCCGGGCCGGCTGCGCACCGTCCCCGCACTTCGAGAGCCGGTTAGAATAATACTTCTACCGAGACTTGTATACGGGGTGAGCTTTTGTGAGTGTCCAGGGAAGTTGCTTGCACACGTTACCCTCAAAACAAATATTGGTCTAAATCCAAGAGCCTCATGTATTCTTACATGAATGTTTGGTTCTTTACTTTTTTTTTCTATCTGTGCATAAACAACACCTGTCATTTGTCTCTATCCTGTAATGAAGACCAGCCACTGCTGCTCTCTTCCTGTCCAGGGTGACAAGTCTTATATCTGCCCCCTCTGTAGTTTTCTGCAGGAAGCCTGTATTTGGAGGACCTGCTGGGTCACTCCCACAACTCTGCTCTCTGCACAGGCTATGTGCAGCACATTGATAATGTGTCTATTACTTTAACAAAGTAATAGCCTAATTTGAAAATGCATTTAGTGAATATAGAGTGGATTTATATACTTTGAGTATATTGAAAATATATTTGGCTTACTAAGAATGTCAGTTCTTAGTAATTTCTTGGGAAATACCAAGGATACCTGGATCCTTGCTGTCAAAATGTCCCCAGTTTGTGTGATGCCATTTGGAAAGTTGACACATACCCCCCCTGAAATAAAAAGATATGAAAGGTATAAAACCTGAAATAAAAAAAAAAAAGATATAAAAAAGATTTGTATAATCTATAGAAAGTTATTTACTGTGGCATAATG